GTCTCCATCTCCTGCCAAGCACTTTTTCCTCCTGACCTATTTTCTTCCCCTAAGAAATGTTTTTCTGTAGCCTGATTCAAACTAAAAGTTTGGAATGAACTTTTATCTTCTTACTAAAGTGTCTGTTTTTCTTTAGACTCCTATATATTTCAACACTTCCCCCCTCGACCTGTTTCCCTCATAAACCAAAAAGAGCAGCAGGGCTTTGGGCCAGTGTTTCTCTGTCGTTGGCTTTATTCATAGCTTGTCAGCGTCACTGAGTGTTTCTCAGTGAGGTCAGTGAGGTATTTATGTTTCTGCCTTATGTATGTCCTTCTGAAAAGTCTCATAGAAGCTAAAAAGTAAAAAATAAATACGATCTTCAATGCTCAGGAGAGCAGGCTTACAAGAAACTTGCAGTTAATTTTGTTTCAAACTAAATAATCATTCCTTTTGTCTGCTTTGTAAACACGTGTTCATCTTCTGAGTCCCAGATTTCTCTTTGTAGTTTTTTTATATATAAATCTTTAAACAGTTGCAATTTGGATAGAGCGAAAGCGATGTTTTTTTAATGTAATATTTTAGCGATAATATAAATAGGGTTAGTCATGGACGTAGAGCTGAATGAATAGTACACAGCATGAGGACACTCAAGAATACGCTTATGTTCTTCATGTGTCTCGTATACTTTGGTGTCATCCGTGCCCCTGTTCTGTTTCAGGTATAAAGCCTTCATTTTTATTTTGACGTTTTTGCTGTATGCGAGTTTCCACTTATCCCGAAAGCCTATCAGCATAGTCAAGGTAAGAAATCATTAAACACTTAATTTCCTGTCCTGCCTATCTATAGTCTCTGTAAGGAACTAGTTACTTTAAGAGGCAGTTTGCTGGGGGGCGGGGGCAGCGCTAGGAAAAATGGAGAAAATGTATCGTGTAGAAGGAAGTTATTTTGCTGCTCTGGCTTTTAGTTTCTCTTTTTTGATTTTAAAATCTTCAGAACGTCTTTAGGATTTATAATTTCAGAGGCAGTAGACTTTTGCTTATATTCAGTTGACGGTTTCAGGATTCTAAAGCTTAATTAAATATTTATTCTGTCTTGTGTGAATTTTCCCTCCAAAACACCCGATCTCGCGTTGTTCCCGAGCTGCTTCTGCAATGCTCGCGTTTTCATTCTGAGTCTGGCTGTGGTGGTGGTTCTCCATTATTCTAAGAACGCTGGGTTTCTCTGAGTGATGGGTGGACAGGAAGCTGTGAAGCAGGCATCTAATGAGACCGAGCGAAGGAGGCTGGAGTAGACAGTGCCACGTACTAGCCCCTGTGACCTGGGGAAGCCAGTCACGCTCTGACCCTCACCAGAAGGACACCGTTTCGCCTATAGATTGTCGACACGCTTGAGTAACTTTTGAGTCTGTTGTAGAAGGAACAAGGACATTGCCCAGTGCCAAAGGGAGCTCGTTTCCGGCTCGATTGTCCTGTCCCTCACTCTGGGGCCGTTGGCAGAGCCCGCTGTAACTCTGTCGACCTTTTCCACGGTGCTTCCTCCACTCCCTGTGGGCATTCGAGCGCTGGACACCTGCCGTCCGTCTCAGGCTGCTCGAGAGGCCATGCCAAGGCTGGCGCTTCCGTGGACAGTTAGCTCTTTGTCCCTGTTTTCCAGTAAGTCCCAGCGGCTGTCAGACATCGTCCATGACTCAAAAGACCAAAACTCCTCCTCGGCTCCTACTTAGTAGGAGTTTCCCACGCCCTTCAGGTCGCTTGCAAAATTCTCACTTTTTTGACAGTTCTAATGACTGGAAATGTTTGCAGACGTTTCAAAATGTGGTTCTTATGAAAAAGATAAGGGTGAGACAGGAGACAGGGGGTCTTAACGCACACGCATTCACTCGGCTGGCGACTCAATAACGCACACGCATTCACTCGGCTGGCGACTCAAAAGCAGCACCGGTGACCGGCCGCTGTGCGTGAAGAGCTGCTCCTCGTCCTCCTGTAGGGGGGTAGGGACTCGTGCAGCTGATGAGACAGGCAGGTTACGAAAACGAAGAGGCCTTAGGGAGCTCCAGGGAACTAAAGGAGCGGGTAGTTGTGGGGCTCCTTGGGTTCGGGACTGAACCCGAAAGGTTGGGTTGGGTTGTGGGGTGAATGCCTGGAGCACTAGATGGGGCTGGCCATCGCCATGAAGCCCTCAGGTCGGCGTCGGGACCGGGCGGTGTGGTCCTGTCGGGACCGGGGCCACGCCAGGCAGGTCTGCTTCTGAGGGCCACAGGGGGGATGGGGCCACACCAGGCGGGTCTGCTTCTGAGGGCCACCTCCGTTGTGTGGACCTGTCCCTCGCTCTCATGTGGCTGTGCCGCATCCCGCTGTGCCACCTGACAGGGTAGGTCCCTTCGTCTATCCTGGGTAGCTGGCCCCAGGATGCTGGCAATTGGCTTCCCACTGCACGGCCGCTCTGAGCAGCCGTCGGTGGCGCCCGGATGCGCCTGTTTGCTGTGTGTGTGCCGGGGGGGGCGGGGTCTGCCGGATGGGGTGCTGCCAAACGGCCCTGCCTGGGGCATCCGTGGGCCCCGCAGGCAGACTGCCCTGCTGCCTCCCCGACCTCGGGCGCCAGGGGCCCGGGGAAGGCTGTCGGGGGAGGGGCGCCGGGCCTGCTCTGCGTCCCCGCCGAGCCTGTCACCTGAGTGCTCTTTCTCTCCGGCTCTGTCCTCCCATGGACGCCCAGGGCGCGCTCCATCGGTACTGTGCGGCCGTGAACGACGACGAGGTCAGATTCGACGGCCAGAGCCAAAAAGCCAGTGACAGTCCCCCACACCAGCTCCCGGACAATGAGACGGACTGCGGCTGGGCCCCGTTTGGTGAGTTCTGTCAGCGTGCTGTGACCGTCCGGCCACCGAGGCGGGCTGTCTCTGCAGGATTCTTCCACGGTGACGAGCGCCCGGAGCCCGCTGGCAGTGACGATGTCCTGGAGGGCGACGGCGTCCAGGGACAGCCCGCCCCCCGTCGGCTGCTGCCACGCTGTACAGGGCCATGCGCAGAGCTACTGCCCCCCAGACAGGACCCCGTTAGCGGGGAGACCTGCGGAAGACCATTAGCTGGCGCCGGGACTCGCAGAGTGGGCACGGGGACAGGACCGGGGACGAGGACGGGGGTGGGCGGGAAGGCAGAGGAGCGGAGGCCGGGCGGGGTCTGGCTGAGCCCCTAATAAAGCCGGTGCCCACGGCGCGCCCCGCGGCTCGTCCGCCCGTGCGTCAGGAACGTGTCAGACGTGGTTCTCTCCACCTGTGCCAAGAAGCCAGACGGGGCCGCGTGCCAGGCCTGCTGTCCCCCCCGCTCCAGAGCTGACGTGGCGCGAAGATGCAGCGCCGCTCACCTTTGCCGCCCGTGTCACCCACGCAGGTCAGGACAACTACCAGCAGCTGCTCGGGGCCCTGGATTACTCCTTCCTGTGCGCGTACGCCGTCGGCATGTACCTCAGGTAGGCCCGCCGGGCTTCGCGAGGCCCTCGCCGGCCACAGCCACTCGGGGCGGGCCTTAGTCCAAGAGGCTTTCGTTCAGAGGCTGAGATCTTCAGGGACCCTGTACGTGTCGAGCATCTTTCCTGAGAACCCCCGAGGGTGGCACCATCAAGACCCAGGCCCCCGGCCCGGCGCCCTTGAGGGTGGTAGATGCACACAGGGCAGTTTCTGCTGATGGAGAGGATGACTTCCCCGTCCTGCGTGTGCACAGTTCGCACTGTGTGGCAGAACTTGTGTGGATGTGTGCGTGGGTGACAGCGGACACAGAGGCCCGAGGCGTGCGGTGCCCAACCGAACGTGAGCCCGTCTGAGGACAGACAGCACGGTGCCAGCCGGAGGCTTCTCGCGTGTGGGTGGCAACCAGGCTGCTCGCCGTGTCCCATCTCGAGGAATAACGTTGCCGTCTTAAACACTGTGATCTGACTGGGTACCAAACCTGTAGTATAAAAAGACCCAAACGTTGGAGTGTGTTTTTCTCAGTTACTAGAAAACAGAATTTAAACGCTCTCAGCTGGGAGTGATTTTGTCCCCTAGGAAACATAGAGCAGTATCTGGAGACACGTTTGGTTGTCACAGCTGGAGGAAGGGGTGCCACCGGCCTCCAGAGGGCAGAGAACAGGGTGCTGCAGCACACGAGACAGCCCCCACCACAAAGAGTGACCCGGCCCAAGGCGTCGGGAGTGCCGACGGCAAGAAACCTGGTTTGAATGAAGGGGGTTTTGCGGTTGCTCACTTATTGGCAAAGGTCATTCCCCGTGTAGCTTGCCAGCGACGACTGTGAAACTCTGCCTGTGAGACCTGCAGTCGACTCACGGTGGCCGAAGGGCGGGCCCCGCTCCCTTGCGTGGCCTCTTACTGGTTCGATGGCACGTGGATCGTGTAGCGTAGCGGGTAAAATCAGATGCGGTGGGCACCTTCGCCGGCCCGGGTTGTTCCTGGCGGGTTTCGGCGGGCGTGGTGTGCCCTTTAGCGCCTGTGTGCGTCTGGTAGACTGTGGAAGCTGTGTGTCTTATCAGGCTTTTCTTTAGAACTTTTACGTAGAGATCATATTTGGACCCAATATTGAATAGCAAGCAAGAAATACGCGGGAGAACATTTCTAAGCCCTGGCCCATGGCTCTAGCTCTCGAGAGACCCATCTGACTCAGCCACTTGTTCCGTGACCTTGGGCAGATCAGCCGGCCCCTCTGGGACAGCCCTTCCTCTCAGGAGTGAGCGAGTTGGAGCAGACAGCTCGTTTAGCTCTAGAATGCTCCTCTTGAGTTCATAAGTATCAGCTTCTACTCAGCTTAGAATTTGACCTGATTGTTTTTCTTAATTTTAAATAGCTACATCTGCTTTAGTGTTCAAAAGGTCATTTGTGTGATAGTAGGTCGAGCTCTTTTATCTGATGAATTCAGAAGGAAAGAGCAGAATTTCGGAGACAGTTCGTGGCAGGCAGGTGTCCTTCTTTAGTCTGTTTCACATCCATCTGACTCCTGGAATGATCTATGGAAGGAGATGAGACCCGTAGGGTTTTTGACGATTGCGAAAGGCTCACGGTCTCTTACGATCATTCTATAGCTTCTTTATGCACTGAATAAGCCACAATGTCAAGTCGCTCCACAGTGAAGTACATTTACATTCCCCTAAGCCGGTAGAGGTATGTTCCACATGGCCTGGTTGTCTTGGCGTGATGAATGTATATTCCCTAGTGGGACACTGCAGACTTGTCGCCCCCACCAGCACCGCTAGAGCTGTTTACGGCGGACCCACCACCAACCAGGCACGGGACCCACACTGATCTCGGCTGAGTCCCCAGTTTAGAGGAGAGTTCTCCAAAGACACTAACTCTTACTGAGTCACGACGCTTTTCAAAGGAGCACATAGTGGCCCTACCCTGTGTTTCAGACCCTACCTCAAAGAAAATCTCTGCCTTTAAACCAGATGCCAGGGCCTGTGGCAGGCGGGGGAGCTGGCAGAGCCCAGCCAGCTCGGTGTGTTAGTGTGGGCGACTTAAGGACAGCTCCAGGGCCCAGAGACGCACTCACCCTGACGAGCGATGCCTTTTCCTAGCAGGATAAGTTTTTGGTTTTTTAAGCGGGCGGCCATCATGTGTATAAGCCGTGGTGTTTGAGTTTTATTATTTGACAGTGACTTTTACTAGAAGTAAAGTCTTAAAAGAGGTTGCCAACGGCCGATTTCTGGTTAATAACTGCTCCACTGGGAAGCAGTTGTGATTAGATCTTCTTGGAAACGGCGGTGCTTCGGAGTTCTCGAAGCTCAGAGAACAGCCTGGCAGCGCCTGGAAGGGAGCCGCCGGGTCGTTTACAGTGTGGGCGTGTTCTTCCCCTCATGTTTGTCTTTCCTTTCTCTTTATCCTCAGTGGCATAATAGGGGAGCGTCTGCCAATTAGGTATTACCTAACTTTTGGGATGCTGGCCAGCGGCGCCTTCACTGCCCTGTTTGGGTTAGGGTATTTCTACGATATCCACAGTTTCGGATTCTACGTGGTAACTCAGGTGAGGTCTGGGTCCGTGGCTCACCACGTGCGGGGTCTCCACGCTGAGCTGGAGGGGGTGTCTGTGCCGTGAGCCCCTGCCACTGACAAGAGAGGGGACAGCAGATGCCGGGAACTGGGGGGACCAGACCTGTGACCTGTCCAACATCGGGGCCAGCGCTGGCATGTAAAGGTTCTCTCGTCTTCTCTGAGAGTCCAGCCGCCGTGAGGTTTTCCTTAGTTTCAGGAGTGGCCTCTTAACGGGTCCCATCTGTCCCTACGTAGCAGGGGGATTGTGCCCTACGAGTCCTTCTGTCATCATTCGGATGCCTTCGAGGTGTTCTGTCTTGTGGCAGATTGGACCGCCCAGGAGTGGGAAGGACATGGGGCATAGTGAAGGCAGGAGGAGGGGACGTCGTGGGCGTCGTCGGTAGCAGGGTGGGGTTGGAGGTGGTCCGTGGGAGGGAAGGGGGGCGTCTGAGGGTGCTGGAAGCAGCAAAGGCCGAGACAGGCCCACGGCTTCGCCCTGCCAGCTGCGCCTAGCCCGTCCTGGAGCGCTCCCAGCGGCCCTGTGGCTAAGTATTGATTAGACGTGGAAGGTGACGTAACATAATGAGCTCGACTTCTGAGTCTCTCCAGGTAGCCTAGGGGGGCGTCATAAAATCATCAAAGCAAATTGGACATAATTTGCTTTTAAAAATTTGCCACAGGACTTGTAAAAGTTTGGCCGTTTTAATTACAAAACTTATCCCTTCATAGAAAATTAGAAGGAAGGAAAAAACACTTTCCCAGAGTTCCAGCATGTTCCTGCAGGGCAGGCCACGCCTGGCGGGCCCACGTGGACTGCCACCCCAGCAGTCTGCAGGGGAGTCGGCCCGCCCCGGGCTGGCTGTGGGGTCCCTCAGCTGAGCCGTGTCCCACGTCGTCTTGTAACGTGGCCCCCAGCACACCCACTCGCCAGCACGCTTCCCGGACCCCTTCTGAAAACGCGAACGCGGGGTCCTCCCTGAAAGCGGAGAGACGCTTCCTCCAGGCGCCCAACCGAGGCTGCGCTTGCTCGGTCCAGAGGACACAGCTCCTTCATGACGTGAGACGGGAAAGCGTGCTGCTCGTAGCCGCACCCAGACGCGACAGCCCCAGTTCCACGAACAGAGGGAAATTTCCCTCTTTCTGTAAAGTTTCAGATTAAAAAGAGACTGAGCAGCGTGGCCCCAGGCTGTCAACAGTCTTTCCTCCCTAGCAAGAGATTTCTTTCTTTTCCCTACTTATCCTAAAATTATGCTTGTGATTATAGAGAGAGAGCGTTTAAAGGACATCTTTGGGTGCTGAGGCTCACGTCAAATGGGGTTTGGCCCCCTTGTTTGGCGGGAGTCCCGGCCGTGCCCCCAGAACGGAAGCGGAAGCTTCCCTGAGCCCCGACTGACGGCAGCCGGGCGCCCCCTGTGCTTCCCTCCCTCCCCCGCCGCAGGTCGTCAACGGACTGGTGCAGACCACCGGCTGGCCCAGCGTCGTCACCTGCCTCGGCAACTGGTTCGGGAAAGGCAGGTGAGGGAAGCAGCACGTGGAGTTTTAAAGATTTGCGTCTGAACTTTAGTGTTTCTTTAGATTTATTGCAAGAAAAAAAAATAGTCCATTCTGTGAAATAAGGTGACTGAAACCTCTGGGACTTGAGGTTCTGAACGTCGGGTGGCCTTTGTCCGAGGAGGAGGTCCTCCTCGCCGTGCGTGTGGTCAGGTCCGTGCCACTCTGTGCAGCTGGCCAGCGGCGGGGGCGGGCCTGG